GGGCCCATATTTGGCTTCAATGACTTGCCTCCAAAGGGCCAATTCTTCTGTATGATACCTCCAGATCCATTTTGCTAATAGAGCTTTATTCTTTTCCTTGATTTTGGAGATGTCGAGGCCTCCATCCTCAATGGGATGAGTGATCTTATCCCATCGCACCAGGTTTTGCCCATGTTTGTTGCTACTCCCTTTCCAAAAAAAATTCCTCATGACTTTCCCATCGCACCTGTGTGGGGATGGAGAATAAAGAGAGGTAATAGATTGGTAGGTTGGATAAGGTAGCTTGTAGAAGAGTAAGACGACCACCTTTAGAAATAAAGGAGTTTTCCCAAGAGTTGAGCTTTTTCTTCATTTTTTCAAGGATGGGGTCCCAAAAAGAAGCTGATTTAGACTTACCATTTAGGGGGAGACCTAGGTAAGAATTTGGCCAAGTTCCTTTTTTGTAGGCAAAACGGTTGGACAAGAGATCCAATTCTGTTTCTATCAAGTTGATACCCAGCAATTCCGTCTTTTGTAGATTAGAATTCARTCCTGATGCTTCTTCAAAGGTTTGGATGGTACAAAAGAGATTTTTAAGATGGTCACTGTCCGGTGATGAGAAAAGGATAGTGTCGTCTGCAAATTGTAGGTGATGAATTTCCAGCTGAGATTGCCCCACCAGGAAACCTTTAGTCAGATTCGATGTCGCTGCATGGGAGAGGAGTCTACTGAAACAATCAACAACAAGGATGAATAGGAAAGGGGAGAGGGGATCACCCTGTCTAAGGCCCCGGGTTCCTTGAAATGTTACAAGGGGCAAAAGCTAAGAACTTTCTATAGGAAAAATAAAGAAACCTCTTCATGTTCATGAGTACAACAAGAAGCCCAATAAAGCCTCCCAAGTAGAATAAATTAATTAAAAGAGTAATTACTAAATCAATTTGAGAATAACTCCATAAAGAAGCATGGCTAAGCTCAGTCTTTCAAACCGTCCACGGGTTTTTTGAATACTAAAAAAAGATTAGTGGCCTTTCGATTTAAAGTTCCTTTCGTTCCAAATACTCCACAAAGCCAGCCTATATTGCATTAATCTATAAAATCTTAGCTCTGCTTTTAACTTTCAGCCCACAAAGTAACTGGAAAATATTATTGCTTGGCCTCTGACCAAAAACCCAAGAGACACCAATGATTCTTAAAATATATGCCCAACACTTGATGCTGTGGAAATTCTAAAAAAGGAGATGTTCTTGGCTTTCCTCTGCYGAAAACTAGAAAGCAAATTGAAGGATGCAAACACACAAGAGTGCACTTCTTTTATAATCTTTCAATAGTATTCAGGCCTCCAAAGTGAACCAACCAAACCTAAATATTGATTTTTCTTGGTCCTACGGGTTTCCAGACTGCCTTTTCCCCCACTTGTTGATTCTTGATTTATTGGAAAAGTAGTCTGCCTTCACCAAAAATTGGACGTAAAACTACCATTAGGATCAAGTCTCCCAGTTCTTTTGTCATCTCTAGACATGTCCGAACAACTTCAAGTCCAAGCCTCTAGGCTCCTAAAATTTCTCCTCCACATTTCTCCTTCCTGAACTTTCCAAGATTCAGTATCCTTGGCAGCCGACCCACGCTATGACGCTATCATAACCAGGAGCTGCTTTCTGCTGTACTGAATAAATTTTTTTTGAAAAGCTAAAGTCCTAAAGGTGACCGACTCCCCTGCCAAATATTCTTCTCCAAAAGAGAGTATTACTTCCGTTTTTTATATTGATTGCTGAAGACATCCACAATGTTCCACAATCTCGAGATATAACACCAAGGGCTCCTATACGGCCCCCTTCGATTTGATATTGTAAACCAATTAAGTCCCCCCTTCGGCCCTGCCCATAAATGCTAGAAACCAACCATTTAGCAAAGAGAGCCTTGCTTTTTCTTTTTCCTTCTTTTTTCCTTTTCTAAATTTCTAATACAAAAACCGCCGCACTCCTTAGGCAAAGAAACTGTTTTCACGTTTCTCACCTTACCCTCCCCATATCCTTTCCAAAAAAAAAAAAAAAAATTCTCATTTTTCTTTCAATTTCATGATAGACTCTGGCATTCATAACAATTGCATAAAATAGAGAAATATTGGACAATTTGGAATTACACAGATTCTGTTTTCCTCTTGATAAATTGTAGTTCTTTAATCTATCTAGCTTTTTAGCCATTTATCCAACTCAGTTCCCAGAAGGCCATATATTGGAGGACCCAAATACTTCGTAGGGAGCTCTTCAAAGGAGCTGGCCACACATTCAGCCAATCTTCCCAACTCATCTTCAAAGACCTATATGAACTCTAGTTCCTTCACCTATCTGTACATATTTGATCTCCTTTTTAAGGATTCTGAAAATTACCGTTGTTATAAGCATATCCATCAGTCCTGAATTAATTTATTATAGCATGTTTGTTTCTAATTTAACCAATTAGGATTTTCCAAATGTGTTAATAAATTAGGCATAATTGAATCATTTTACYTGTAATTAATTTGAATTCTTAACGTAAATTAGTTAATAAAAATAGATTACTTACTAGAATTAATTAGTTATGACTTTATTGAATGCTTGAAATTTACCTTGTACATAGACGATCAAATTAGATATCCGTGAAAATTGATATGATACTTAAAATTGACTAAATTAATTATTTTGATTAAATATAACCTCTGTTTGAATCCTAATGTCATGCTTRCTAGTTACTACTCAAACTATAACTTGGACGATTTGTGGCCATTGATCCAATTTGTTGATGAGTCTGACATCTGTGTGAATTTTTGTATTAAATGCTTGCTTGGAAATGTGAGAAAAAGATTGATACTTTACTACAGAAGATTGTCTGCTCCTGTTAAATACTTTGAAACATGATCTCGTTATTAGGATTCGATCGATAGGATCATTTTTCATAACGTCATGTTATCAGCCACATTGTCGTGTGCATAAATGGTATCTGGCAAAGATTTGTTTGTTTAGGAATGGATGCCGTAGATGCTATGGAAGACCCGCCTCATTGTGATATGGTCGTAAAAGTTCTTTATACCATTTTCAACTTCATCTGATACCATCATCACTTAAGGGTGGGGGATAATGTTAATATCTTGAATGTTACATAGAAGAAACCAGACCACATTGTAATATATAAGAAAATGTGTTCACCAAATTTTGTTGCAGGAACAATAGTTTAGTTGATAACATTCTGCTTCTATTATCTCAATTGCTGTAATTTAACATGAAAACCATTTGTCACGTTCATTTAAAAGAAAAACGGTTTTGTGCCCAGATGCAGCTTGACATTTGGTGGACATACGTGAAAATCTACTTAAACCACCTCGTGCATATTTCAGAAGTCATTTTCAACTAAAGATTGACAAAAAATATATACAATGCACGACCAAAATAAGACCATGGTAAAAGGTCTTAGCTTGGGCCTATCAACAATAGGAAACTTGGAAAAACCTAGCCAAAAGAATTCTATCTGTGTGCCCTACAACTCCAATTTTCTACAGGGAAACTATCATCTTTGCTCCAGAATCTTTATCTTATCTAGCAGCTCCTGGATGGTGTTGGATGCTTCCTGTAGATTCCCAAAGAACCACAACAATTTTGTTTTAGACTAAAACAAGTTAAAAATACTGACATACGCACAAGCAGAGTAAGACAATTAAATCAGAGGTAACCTGAAGCTTCTTTCGCAGATTTCTCTCCTCAGTTTCTCTTCGATCTCTCTCCTCTGAGAAAATATCTATTAGGCTTTCTTGTTCCTTGTTCAATTCCTCAATTTTAAGCTCTGCTGCTTTAAGCTAGATAAAGTAGAGTACATAATCATTTTAGCAACGTTACATCTTCTAAACGTCTAATTTGCAAAAAAAAAACCTAGTGTAAATTTAGAATATTTGTTGTTCTGTACTTCGACATGTTAAACCCAAAGTTGCTTTTTCTGCAATCTTAAAAGTATGTTCCCCGACAAAGGGCCAAAGGGTTTTAAACCCACCAGAATTTATCAACAGACTGTTGCTTGTTCGTCACCATTACTGGCATTGGGTTAAACCTCCAAAATGAATTGATCCCAGTTTAATTGATACAATCATCACATACATGCATTCACCACTTGTCTCAGCAGTACTTGATAAAAGAACATAAAATAAGATGCACACCTGAGCCTCTAGTGATTTACACCTATCTCTTTCCTGCTGCAATTCGTTGTCATCAACTCCCTTTCTCTGTAATCTACAAGAGGTAAGGACAGAGGATAAATTTCGAAGGCAGCAAGAATAGAGCCATGAAGCAACACACTCAGTGTGCCCAGAATGCTCAATTATTGTAAGAGAAGAATGCACACCTCTCCTTCAACTGTTCATTTTCTTCCTTCAACTGCTGTAGCATGTGGAAATTGGAATTTGAAGGGGAATGCTCACTATTGTTTACATCTCCTCCCTGCCAGAGCACAACGCAGACATAAATCAATATTGTTGTTCCAATTCTATATAGGGAAAGTGATGCAAACATAAATTATTTCCACACGTGTATTTGGTAGTAATTCACATCATAGAAACCAGGGACAAACAGAAAGCATATACATGAAACTTTTATACACGGTGTATTTTCATAAATCCAATTTATCAGGAGTTATTTAGGACCAAAACTCAAATATGCAACATAATTATCGTCTCTGCCGTATCCAACTTTTACTGAACATTTCTTCCTGTAAATAATGTGGGAAATAAAAATGTTGAAAACTAAAATATAAATATAAGGTACCTTCAGTTGGGATCCTCTTCTACCGACTCCAATTTCCTGAGATTGACCGACTCCTCCATTTGAAGATGCTTTCATTGTCATTGAAACATCATTTCCGTGAGATTCCTTATCATAAAATGTCTTATCACCAGTACCATTTGCTTGTCGCTCGTGCAGGTTATCAACCTTAACTTCTAGTGGAGAAGGCGAAGGTGACTCAGAAGAACTTGATCTCATCAAGGATTTCTTAGGGATCATACTGCTGTTTTTGTCTTTACTTGAATGCCCATTCACATATCTAGAGTCTTTTGTTTTCTGAAACTTTTCTGATTCTTTTCCTGAATAGACTTTATCAGGTTTCTTCCCACTTGATGTACTGCACTTTTTTCTTGATTGAGGTGAAGGCTGTGAAGAATAATCATCGGGGGAACTTTCTGGAAAAATAAGAKAAACATATTAGAGGTTCCATTCCTAGAGTACATCACTTCACATTGCTGAAAAAGAAATGGATAAATAATTGAGTTTCAAGTAGTGGCTTCATAACCAGAGAAGTGTTTATGATTGTTTTGGAAGAGAAGCTAAAACAAAAACACCAGTACCTCTATCTGGAGACAGGTTGGTAGATTTATTACTTCGTCTTGGAGCATAGCCAATCTTGTGGCAGTAGGAAGTCCTAAACAACAAAAGATAGTAAATTCAGTAATGGATAACAGAGGAAACAGACGCCACCTAGTGATCAAACGTAGTATCAAACCAGTAAGTCTTCTGCATCTGTATCAAACGTGCTTCAAGTCTTGCGAGAACAGTTGTTCGCTCAAACCCCTGCTTATCGTGGGCAGGTTCAACAAAATTTGCTTCTAAAACGCCTGCAACATAATTGAGCAATCAGAACTTGGACCATTATAAATTTCTTTTTTCTCTTCCATTTCTTTTGATTTGTTCTTCTATTGAAGAGCAAATTAATGATGAATAATAAATATGACAAAACAACACCTATAACTCCACGACCATCACTTCCTGCAGCATTCCAAAGCCTCCAAAATGGCTGGAAAAGAACAACTTTTAATCAGAAATATTTAATATGTCGAGAAAAAATCTGCTCTTTTCATTTCTTTTCTTTTTACAAGCAGCAAAATTTTACCGAGGTTAAATAAATATTGACATAGTAAAAGTAAAACAATCAGAGTCCACGCTTGCAAAATTGAAAAAAAAAAAAAAAAAAAAGGATAATCTTCAAAAATCTTGATCGTAAAGCACAAAGTGAATATAATGAGAATGACATTCGAGACCATAATCAACTTACACCATAATGTTTTTAAAAAAACACTTGCACCATTTTTATCTCTTACTTTTGCGTTTCCAAATAACTATAAGGATTTCATAAATGGAAGTATGCCCTTCCTCTTAGAACCCTTGAGAATCTAAAACCCTCAAAATTAAAGAGAAARGAAAAGGGAAAAAAGTAAGACATTTTCATGTTGCACCTGAAATCTTCAACAAGCATATAAATTTGCATGCAGGAGCTCAATTTGGGATTGCATTCTTACAATGTTTTGCATGATCAGTGAATAAGGTTCAAATGAAGCTGGTTGGTTCTCAAAGGTCTGTGAGGTTATTTGATAGTCGCTGGAAGCTACAAAAATTTATTTCAAGTTGCGAAGGTTTGGTTGAACGGTTTTCGCTTTGGGAATGTAAGAGAACATTTTTCTAAGAGGAAGAGGAAATCTCAGCCCCGACCATCCTTTGGAAAAATGCCTTCCCTACAATGTGCTGTTCTTCCAACCAGATTTGTTAGACACTGCATAAATGTTCTTGACGTGGGCTGGAAGTTTTCTGTTTAGGCAACATTTGACTGATAATGAGGCAGGCAGACATCCTTGACGTATATTTTGGATAAGCCTCGGGAAAAAATTTGGACAGGAATCCTTCAAATGAATTTTAAGTAGTTGTGGTCAGTATACCAGCAGATCCTTTTTTGATCGATTGACTTCTAGTGTAGCTGTTTTGCCAACTAGGGCCATGCGGAAAATGAAATAATCCCAATAAGATTAAATTCTCTTTGTGGTCTCTTGTGTTTAATGGCTGTAGCACGGATGATAGAGGGTGCTACTTGTCTCCCAGTCCAAAATGAGGCGCTCTTTGCAATCAAAATCTGAGAACGAGAGGTATCTTTGCTTTCCCTGCAGCTTTACTTCTAAATATTGGGCTAAACTGAGTGAACTAGAGTTAAGGTGGTATCCGTCAAATAGAGCGTCTGTCAAGGTGGAGCAGCTCCCGTGCAGCAATTCGAAAGCTGGCAAATTCTTTGGTCTCATGTTGCTAAGGCTATTTCTGGAAGGTTTATGCAGAAGGAAATTAGAGAACTTTTCAAGGAAAGTGTAGGGATTGGAATTTTTTTCCCCTGTATAGCAAACTATAAGGAAGAGAAAATGTGACAAGGGATCCCTATCGCAACCCTCTTGTAGCAAAGATTCAACCCTTTAGGCYTCCCCGTGAGAAAAGTAGAAAATTTGGTACCTAAAAGACAACCGAACATTCACTTGAGCCACCTACCCTGAACGTTTTTCCTTTTTGGAAGTGCAATCGAAGAGTCTAGATCAACTCTGAAAGCAGCAAATTAGGGGCCAGTGTGGTAGAAAGAACCGATTGGATCAAAGTCAATCTCTCACTTTGACTTAAAAAATAATACTCCAGTTCATCCCTCGTTATAATAATCAAATATTTGAAGAACAAATTTTAACAGGATCATAAATAAAAGATCTGAAGCATGTGAAGAAGCCATTACTGCATAATCTTCTGCTTTCTAGATTTCACCATCATCAATCCCCACGGAAAAAACTGTGTTACTTCTATGAATCAGGCTAAAATATTCTCCTGCAGAGCTCTTCAAACAAATCCCAGAAAAAGAATGATACCTTTCAAGGGGAGTTCCAACCATTATTTATCTATTAATGATTTTGTTTAGAAGGGGGTCGACCATTAATTATAACCCATTGGGCATCCAGATTACTTATCTCGTCCCATTACAATTACAAGTTTCCAATTAATGGACCACTTAAATTCTTCCTTGCACAGCTTTCATAGCAGTTAAATATGCTTGCTCCATGTCAACTATGATTGTTTTGTTCTTGGTGTCTTTTCTTTAGTAGGAAAAAAGGAACATTTCATTAGCAGAAAAAAGTACAAAAGGAGGATGATGTATCTAACCAAGTAACCAAGAGGATAACAACAGTTCCTCAATAATTATCATTAATAAAAAATTATCATAGTTACAAACAAAAATACTTTCTTTTGACCCTTTCTAAATTATAACTAGTACACAAGAAACAAATGGCCACCGTAGTCATCCTACATCTAACAGCATAATTTATATTTGACGACTCCCACAAAACAAAATGAACATTAAATAAGGTGAAGTATTTGAACATATAGGTATGAGAGGAAAAAATTGTACTGAGCACTTCAAAAGAATAACAATTCCAGTTTTATGTTCTGAACTTCTGGAGACATGAATATGTCATCAAGTTGTGCATAAGATATGTATACCCTTTCATACATCAATGAAATACTTGTTTCTGACCAAAAAAATAAAAAATAAGATATGTATACCTTGATGAGTCGATTCTTGTGATAAACATTGAACCCTTGAACATCTATGTGATGCTTTGCATCCTTTACAAAACCAATAGTCACAACAGCAACCATCTGATAACAACATCAGCACGCAGCTGTTAGCATTGAGAGCATAACAAATATGAATGTTCAAGAAAGAAAACAGCATACTGAGTATTACATTTGAATCTTTTACAACCCCCTCAGCGCCTGGCTGAGGCCGGTACGTGACCTCTTGAGACATCATCATGTCATTCACTATGTTATGGTGTTCGACATCTCTCCCGCGAAGAATAATGCGAAAGACAGGGGGAAGCCTCAAATAAAGAATCGATGCATAACTCTGCACATTTAAAATGAACAAATTGAATTACCTCAGTAAGGAAAAAATAATTGCTCTTTGCCATCCACAGTGAATAATACAGGGTTCAAACAGTTTTATTCTCAAGGTTTTTCCATTTCTCCCCTCATATTTTTGTTCTCTTTGCCCTTAAAAAATGAACTCCAACTACATCACTATGAATTTATAAGAACTAAGAATTTGAAATGAGTAAACACTACTCCAAGATGTTGCAGAAAAATGAAAGTTAAAACCACATAAGCAATCATTCAAGCCAGATTAACAGGATATCTGATCATTAATCACAAAAAGTATTACCCTCAGTGAATGTCGGTAAGTCAAGAAGTGCCTAGAGTTGGGAAATTTTTTGGCCATTTGTATATTCTTCTCGTCTCTGTTGACACCTCTGATTTGGATGTCCTGACAAAATATTGGTTATTAGATATTAAATTTGAAGATACGAACAAAACGGTATCCTCTGTAAAGGAATAAAATAAACTAGAAGTATATATGTAGCATACATGTGGATCAGTATCGAAATCCAATTCCAACTGTCCTTGGTCGTCTTCCCAAAGGTTATATATTATAATGCGAGTTCCGTGATCTTTCATCAAAAAAAACTGAAAAGCATGCYAAGCAACATAATCAGTTAACTAAGAAGCACAATGTTAAGCTGAATATTTATTGCATTATAGCCTTCTACACCGAGCTACTCTGTTTCATTTATTATTGCCCATTAGGAAGTCTTTATGTAATCTGTTGCTTTGTAGGGTTTTCCTCCTCTTTGAACTTTCATCTATCAATAAGATTGTTTCGTATTCAGGGGAAAAAAGGAAAGGTAATATCCAATATCTAACTGTTTTAGAGAGGAGAAATAAAATATTTGTTTATTTTCCACCAAATATTTATTTTTTATGGGGGAAGGGGGAATAAGAAACAAAACATGATAGGAGTAAGATAAGGAATCCTCAATCAATATCCAAGGAGAACAAAAGAAAGGCTCTCCAATTGATATGAATCGAACAAGAGGATAGAAAACTTAAATAAAWAAAAAAATTCATTCATAACGAAGGTCCGGATTGAAATGATAAATAAAAATATAAATGCTGAGAAATCTATATATGAATTAAATTTACCGAATAAATTTTAGGTTCACTGGTGATTTAATCATGTTTAAGATGATATCAGAGCGTGTTAGAAACCATATGTTGTTATTAACTCCTCATTTATATTCATTTCCACTTGTTGAGCCCAAGCCCACAAGTGAGGAGTGTTGAGATATTTCAGCTTAAACTTTTAGGTTCATGGGTGATTTAATCCTGTTTAAGAATAAGGGTAAATTGTATAAACCATCCTGGAAGTATGGTAATTGTAATTACACCCCTAATTGCCCACCTAAACTTTCCATTGTAAAAATTAAACCCTCAAACTTTCCTAAAAAATTAGACACCTAAACATTTAAGAGTAAACATTAACCCTCAAACAAAATGAAAATTATGGAGAAAAACAGTTGAATTAATTTCAGAGAATAGATACGAATCTTCGCCCAGAATGAACAACAATATCAAAAAACCCCCTTCTCCTTCCCCTTTTTCTTCTTCATTTGAAGATTCACATAACCAAAGAGGAAGATCAAACCAATTCTCACAGGAAATTAGAACAAAACAGAAAAGTTCAACAGGGAGCATCAATGGCGAATGATAATTCCTCCACTCCAATTCTGCAGCTGAGAAATAGCAACTGAATCCGAATGCAGAAGATTAAAAGAGTGAGAGAAAAGTGGAGTGCAAAGGGGGTATTTTGGAGTTGGGGGAGAGATTTTGGGGACAGAGAGGGACAGCCGAGAGAAATATAGCAAAATAAATCTCTTTTTTTTAAGTTTTAAGAGTTTTATTTTTACAATTGAAATTTAGGGGTGTAATTTTTCTCACTTGTGAAAGTTTGAAGGTTAATTTTCACTGTTGAATGTTCCGAGGTCTAATTTTTTCCACTTACGAAAGCTTGAGGGTTTAATTTTTATAATTGAAAGTATAGGAGTGCAATTGTAACAACTACGATATCTCTAGGACGATTTATACAATTTAACCTATGAATAAAAAACCCAAAACTCAACCAATAAAGTCATCCAAATCAAGGTAACCCAAGAAGGAAGCTTAGCATTAAGTCCAGAAAAATGATCTAAACATTGATCACTTTTGATCGTTACAGAGTTCAGTCACTGTAATATAATGCCCAAATAACAACAATTTAAACTAAACCTAACGAGTAGAAAAATATAATATGCACGTTTGTGGGGAGGGGGGAATGCGGAATATATAATACATGAATACCACTATATGCAARAATTCAGTTCACCTAATGTACAAGTTAGTAGAAAGAAGAAAAATATAAATGCATACGATGACTTATCCCAAATGAACAATAAAGCATCACCTGACGAAGAAGTTCAGCTTCACTGGAAAATGGAGACCACTGAACAATTGTTTCCAAATTTTTATTCCAATCACTAAGAGAAGATCGCACTATCTTGCTCCATTCCCCTCCATTCCTTTCATAGTCAAGCTTTTAATACAATTAAAGAACATGCTTCAGTGGGAGCACAAACATCGAAATACATGACTACCTTTTTAACATGAACAAAAAATAATGGAGTATCAATTTAATGCCTAAACGATGGGTGCCAACAAGCAACATCATCTCAAAAGGAGGGGCATTAATCCATTTCAAAACTATAACACAGGCTATGCACCAAGGACCTAGTGCTTCAAAGCACAAGGCACATTAGCAAGAGATGGACAAACTGTGGACACTTGAGTCAAGCAAAAAGGGTCAAAAAGTAAACAAAAAGAAAAGTTAGCTGTAAATGAAAGATAAAATGCATGATAACATAATAAGAATATACGGTTGAACTTAATCATAGTGTTATGGACAAGTATGAAATATATGCTAGTAATAAATATGTTCCATTATGAAACCATCTTTCTCAAGAAAGAAGGTAGAAAAAAATGTCCTACAAAAAGGACAGGCCAGAAACCCAACAAAGGTGCCTTATCACTGAATAAATTGCCTTGATACCCTTTTTTACACCAAATGCATGATATGTGAATATTTTAGTCATGCAAAGCCTGTATGTCAGTGTTTTGAGGTGCGCCCAGGTGCTCGCCTCAGGCGAGGGGTGAGGCGTTTTCGCCGCGCTCGCCTTTGTTCGCCTTGCCTCACCTTGGTGTGCCATCGCCTTAGGCTAGGCGACCTTCTTTTTTTTTCTAAATAATGTTTAAAACCCACGAAAAAGCAACCATAAAAACCTAATACCCACACCTGGAAGCCTTCGCTTCCGTCCTTTGCTGCCACCACCACGGCACCACTTTCGTCCTCGTGTTGTAATGTTTTTTTATTTTCTCTTTGATTCTATGCTCTGCTTCAATTCTTCAATTTTCAATTCTTCTTCATCGATTCTTTAATTGAGAAAAGAACCAAACAATATAAGAATCAAATTTTGAGAAAAGAAGAATCGAAGATGAAGAAGAGTTGGAGAAAAAAAGAAGAATCRAGGAAGAAGTAGAAGAAGAATTGAAGAGAAAACTGAAAAACCTGAAAATTGAAAATCCTACCGCTTCAATCTTCCTCTCAGCTTCAGTCCTCCCCTCTTCTTTTTCTTTTTTACATTCCCAAGCCGCACTAAAAAAGTTCAAGTGCTAGAACATACTCCCATGCAATAAAATTGCCATCTGGTGGCAAATTTTCCAAATGGCAGTCAACACTCACTCTTTTTATTTAAGTTAATGCATGGTTTAATTTTTTTGATTAATTTACATACAAATGTTTTCATATCATTTTATTTAACCACTGTTTACTAAAATTTTTTAGAACTTATATTTAATTTTTCCTAATTGTTCAAGTTAAACTTTATTTACACGTTAAATCGTTCTACAAAGATTTGAATCTAGAGTATTTTATTTTTTACATAAAATTACTATAGATAATATTTAATTACTATAGATAATATTTATTTATTATTTTATTAGGTGTGCCTCGCTTCACACAAGCCTCGCCTTTTTGTCGTCTCTCGCCTTGAGGCAATCAAAGGRCTTRTCGCCTTGAGATGCGCCTTGCGCTTTGAAGACACTGAATGCAACCACTGTGATCATTGATCACTTATGGGAAGGTGCCCACCATGGACGATAATTGGCTGCAGAGTGCAGATCACTCACCTCACTTCGTTCATTGCCATAGGTGGATCCCCCAAGACATCAACTCAAAAGTAAAATTACCCAGATAAGTTGGGACGCCCATATGTTTTACCATTAGAATTATAGGTAACCGTGAAATCCATGTCCCTAAGGCTAATAGAGGTTGATTTCAGCCGACCTATATGCCAATCTTCTCTGTATTGTCCCAATTTTATCGGACGTCCCAAAGGGAATCCAGCCAACCTATATGATGTGGGATGGTTAATATATTAGGTTATGTTAATTTAGTTAATATTAGTTTAGTTAATTTTGGGTTAACTAGTGTTATTAATTTGTAAATTAGTGATTATAGAGTTAATTAGCCATTTTATTGTAGGGCTACAAAATTTATTATTGTAATGGGAGCTTGTAAATATTATTGAACAAAGTTGTTATGGAAATGGAGAGGATTGTACAGGATTTTTCTGGTGGGAATGGTTTCCACCCTCAACGTCACTTGGTCAGTTGGGTCGCGTCTCTTTGCCAAAGGTTTGTGGTGGTTTAGGGTTGGGTGCCTACAAACAGAAAAATAACGTCCTTCTCCAAAAGTGGCTGTGCAGGTTCACCCAAGAAGAAAATCCTTTGTGGAACATGTGATTTCAAGTATTTATGAAGAGGAGTCTCAAGGTTGGCTGCCTCCCCTCCTAAAGGGAGTTCCATGGGGAGGCCGTGGGTGGACATTGCTAAACAGAGGCCTTGTTTTATCAGGTTCATCTCATTTAAAGTTCAAAATGGGGGCTGAATCAAGTCTTGGAAGGACACTTGGTCAGGAAACGCCCCTTTTGAACTCCAATTTGCTAACTTGTACCGAATTTCCACAAAGAGTGCAGTATGGCAGAATGCTGGAACAGCGAGCAAGGGGACTGAAATTTGGGGTATAAAAGGGGGATTTTGGATAATAGCTGAATAGCTGGAGTGGATGGTGGATCTGGATTCTTTTCTTTGGGGATCTGGGAAGACAAGGTTGAATGGGCCCTGGAGGGTGAGAAATGTTTACCACTAAATCAACCTTCCTCAAGTTAACGGAAGTTCCCCCTAAGCTTATATCCCCCCTCTTATAACTCAGATTTGTAAGTTCTATTGTCCTAATTCTTGCTGTCGTTGTCCTTGGAGTAATATTATTAACCAGTGGAAAAAAGTGGAGCATCATGCACAGTTCACAGTTGGTAATGGAGATAGGGTTTCCTTTTGGCACCATATTTGGATTGGCAAGGAGGCTTTAAAGGTTTGCTTTCCTAAGATCTTTAAGCTTTCTCCTCTTCCTAATGCCTCTGTTTTTGGGACTCCATTTCTAGTGCTTGGCACCTTGAGACTAGGAGATCTTTAAAAGATGATGAATTTGAGGAGTTTTCAGTCTTGCTAGCCTTTCTTAGCTTGGTCTCGGTCAGTGATGATGTTGATTGAAGGTGCTGGACTTTGGAGCCTTTGGGGTTCTTCTCAGTAGCTTCTTTATGTAAATAACAGAATTCTTCATCATTGCCAAMAGAATTGTTTGATGCATTATGGAAATCAAAAAGCCCAAATAAAGTTAATGTCCTAGTATGGATTCTTCTTAATGGCAAAGTTAACACGGCTGATATTATTCAAAAAAAGAATACTTAAATGGTTCTTTATCCCTCCGTTTGCTCACTGTGTGGCAAGTCTAGTGAGTATCAGCAACATATATTCTTCCACGGCTCATATTCTGCTTCTTGCTGGAAGCTTTTCTTTGAGAAGCTTGCTTTTCTTTGAGATTTTTTAGGTTTCTTGGGTTTTTGACTTTGAAGTTGCAAAGGCTGTTCACTCTTTGTTATTTGGTCCAAGTCTTGCACCAAAGGCGGGTCCCTTTGGCATAATGGTGTCAAAGCTTTGCTGTCCGACATTTGGTTTGAAAGGAATCAAAGGATTTTCAAGGGGAAAAGAAGATCTTCAGTCGATGTTTTGAATTTAGCCAAGTTTAAGGCTTCTCAAAGGTGTGCTCTTTACAATGTATTTGTTAATTATTCTTCGAGTATGATCTGTTCAAACTAGGAGGCTTTTATAACTCTCTCTTAATTTTTGTTTCTGTTTATTGTTTTGTTTACATTTTCACAATGAAAAGTTCGTTTCTTGTTAAAAAAAAAGAAGTTCAAGGTGTTTTTGTGGAGCCTTGCCTATAGAAGCATCAGTACCCATGAAAAATTGCAGAAAAAGTTACAGAACTGGGTGTTATCCCCTTCAAGTTGCTCTCTTTGCCTTAGGGATGCGGAGACAATTGACCACTTCTTCTTCCACTGCACCTTGTTAGGTGCTGGTCCATTTTGATGAGGAAATGTGGTCTCTACGGGTGCCTTCCCCACTTAATAGATGAATGCCTTCTTTTTTTGTTGAACAAGATATGAACTTCTCATTGAAATAATSAAAAGGAACAATAACGTCCAAGGATACAAGCACTCGAAAGAGTGAAGAAAATAAACAAAATAAACAAGWAGTAATAAAACTTAACAATTTACAATAAAAGCATTCCAATTGTAGCAAATCATGCTAGGGGAGTAGATACTAAAAAGTTTCGATAAAGAACACCATTGGGAAGCCTTTAACTTAGCTATATTGAAGCGAATTGTTGATAATCGACTCTTTTCTTCGAAGACTCTAGAGTTCCTTTCAAACCATATCTCATAGAGCACGGCCTTAATGGCATTATGCCAAAGAAGGGTGGCTTTAGAATTCAAAGGGGGCCCCTGTAGAAGCTGAAGGATATTCCTTGCTGTTGTGTTGTCAAATGCCCAAGACAAATTGAATTCCTCCCAAAGTAATTCCCAACAGCGCAATGCAAAAGGGCATTGGAAAAAGATGTGGATCATACTTTCTCCATTAGAATGGCATAGAGGACAGAAAGATGTCATAAGATTAGAACTAGGCATCTTTCTTTGAAGAACTCCAGCTGTATTTACCTTTCCATATAGAAGGATCCATGTGAAAAAACAAACCTTTTTAGGACACTTGGTCTTCCAAATGGCTTTAAGTAAATCTGGTGGCAAAGCTTCGTCTGAAGGGGACTTACAAATGGAAGCCACGGTAAAACTGCCTGAGGATTCTAAAGACCAAACTCTACTGTCATGGCCATTGATTGGAGAATGAGAGTTTAAGAGGGATAGAAGTGACACATATTCATCCACCTCATCATCTTTTAAAGCTCTGCGAGAGAGAATTCTCCATGACCGAGACTGTGAATCCCAAAAATCTGCTACTGAACCAGGAGTCAACGAGAGGCAATAAATTTTCGTTATGGGTTCTTTGAAAGGAAAAGCAAAGATTTTATGGAGTTGTGCTGGTAGAGCTTTTCTTTGGAGCATTTGGAAGGAAATGAACCAAGGAATATTCAACAATATATCTCTCCCTTTTCATATCTTTTGTGAAAAACGTACAAATTACTACTGCCTCTTGGTGCCTTACTTATAGGAGATTCTTTTGTAATTATAGTATAGCCTTACTTTCACGAGATTGGAAAGTTGTAATGTGGTAGTTCTTTTGGGAAGGTCTCCTCGGCCCTCGCCCTTAGGTTGTTTTCTCCTGTTCTTTTGGTCTAATGCATGATGTTTCTAATTAAAAAGAAAGTTTAGAGAGGGTAGTTCTCTGAATGTGGAGAAAGTTCTCAATTGTTCTTGGGATGGATTTTCCAAGTGTTATTGGTGACACGATTTATCTAAATTCACTGCATCAATTGGTATCAGAGCTCTCAAAGGTTCTCAGGAAGGTACGGAACCATGGATGGCAATAAAAGACGCCAACATCAACGATGGACTGCCCACCAAGGACTTGCTTCTTCGTCCAGGTATTTACAAACATCGTATTCGTTCAAGTATGGTTACACTTATACAAGTTGTCCTCTCCAATCTACCTACGGACTACCTCTCCCTCTGTGAAATTTCTAAAGGAGCAGCCCACCCTCTTGAGAGAATCTTCAGAAATTTCCTTCGGGAASGTCCCAAAATGGCTGGCAATATTCACCTTGTCAATTGGGGGAGTACAACTCCCTATAGACCAAGGTGGCTTGAGCATAGGCAACATCTTGAAACRGAATCAAGCATTGCTCTCAAAATTGGAGGTACTTAACAGAAAAAACCCACCCTATGGCGAAGAATGATCTAGGCTAAATATGGGAAATCTTTTCATGAGCCTTGGACTATCCAATCTTCTCACACTTTTAAAGGCCCCTGGGTTGGTAATTTCAAAATTTCCCGTGGCAGCTTGGCTAGTTTCTGGCACAACAAATGGGCATCTAACTCTTCCTCAAAGGCAAGAAGACTATGTGGTCTATCTTCATCAGAACATTCACTTGGAGCTTGTTGAGAGAAAGGAACAACGGAATCTTTAACAACAAATCGCAGTCTTTCAACATTTTTTGTAATGGGGTTTTGTTATGGCTCTAAGCTCGTGTAAATGTTACTTTTCATCCTTCTCTGGCTACAGTTTAAATGACCTCTTGAGGAATTGGGGGGCCTTATTGTAACCTAACATCATATTCTTCAACTCCGTCATCACTTCAATATTTCATCAACTCACCCCACCATGCTCCTTCCAAATGAGAATTTCATAAAACAAAATACAAAGAGAACCACACCCACTTCTCTGATTTTATCGTCAAAAACTTCGAAAACTTAGTCAAACCTTAGATGCTCTCAATGTACCACCATTAGCAAACCCCAATGAACCGGTCAAACAGAAATCAACCTTCTACTTCAAGCATTATGGAGACTCCCAAAAACAAAAGAAAGTATAAAAGATTGTAGAAGAAGAATACAATGTCCGAGACGATGCAGATGACACTGCCGGAGAAGCCAAAGATGACAAAGAAGTCGACAACGCCATGTGAGAAAGTAGTTGGAGATGGAGAAGAAAAAGTTCGAAATGTAGATGTTGTAGGAGAAGAGAACAAATCCACCAAATAAGATGCCGGAGAGGAAGACAATGTTGGAGAAAAGGATGAGGACAAAGAGAAAGAGCAGTGGGAGAAAACATAGGTGCAGAGCAGTGGGAGAAAACATAGGTGCAGACAAAGAAGAATAGAAAGAAGAAAAATGGGAGAAGAAAAAGATAATATAAAAATTACAGTGGCAGCTCCCTACGATCTACGAATACAAAGGCAACTTTTCACCACCCGTAACTTCTCCATTCTACCTATCTACGGAAACCTTATCCTACATTAATATGGGTCCGGCCCATCGGCAAGGCTAGAACAAGCTTTTTTTCCTTACTTTTCCCACTTCCTTTCTAAAATCTTGTTATGTCAATCCAACCCAATTAGACCACTGTTGTTTTTGTTTTCCCCAATCTAATCTCCAAGTCAGTTACCTTCTAAATTTATAACATTTACCTGGTGCATTGTTCTAGTCCCATTAGGGAAGTTTTGCGCCAAGATTTTTTTATTGGAATTAGTTACAAAATTGATAATAATATCAATAACTATTAAGTACACATTTAACTTCACAGAAACAAGAACATAGATTGTTAATACAAAAATCCAACGTCTTCGATGTTAGAACGAAATCAGACACTCTTATGCCCAAGCCGCCTGGTCTGGACTCTTCAATGTCTTCAATGTCTTCAATGTTAGCTTCTGCCTCCTGAAATCCATCGATGATTGCCTCCTGCAAACTCTTATGGGAGGGTGTTTCACGTACAGAGCTAAAAGTCTATGGAACTATGCCACTGTGGCTACTCTTTGGAACTTATGGTTAGAACGAAATCAGAGGACGTTTAAGAATGAATGTCTTAATTGTGATAGCTTTTGGAATGGTGTTCAACTTACAGCCTCTAGGTGGTGTTTTTCTTTGAACAATTCTTTTT